GCAGGGAAAACTCCGGGGTCGAGTCGGTCTTTCGTTGTTCCTCTTCCTCCTTTTCCCTTAGGGAGAAATAGCGTCGTCCGAGCGAGCGTCCGAGCGAGCGAGCAAACGAACGAGCGAGCGAACGAGCAGGCAAGCCGGCGTGCCAGCTTGGCAGCCGGCCGCCCAACGACAATCTTGTTCGTTCAAATGCTCACGCGACGCTCTCAGACTTTGGAAGCCGTGGTAAAACGAACGAATGACGACCACGACATCCTTGATTCACAATTCACATTCTGAGGCGAACAGGTGGAGTCCCCGTATCTTCGAGGAGTCGGCACGAATTGCGCATTTATGCACGGTATGCAGCTTTGTTCACCAGACATATAAAAAATCACCGCGGCTGACTCAATCCTCTCTCTCCAGAGCCGCCTTCATAGGTATTCTCGTCGGTCGAGAAGGCCGCCTGCGGTATGGCGGCGTTCATTACGGAGAGAATCGACTTCCGTTGCTGCCGAGTCGCTTAGCTGGGAAAAATCTCGCATCGAATCACAAACGATCTGGGGACTGTCCATGCGCGTGACACTATGCGCGGAGCTTCGGTCCTTATTCACGAGCAGGCGGCTAAAATGCGGAAATCTAGCGATGCACTACTCTGCGAATATGTGCAAGAACGAACGCTGCGAACAAACGGAAAGATGGCTCCGACTATTGCATCCACGGCCGCTCTTCTCGAGCGAGCTTCCAGGGAAACGGCCGCATCAAATACCGCACCCGAACGATGTACTGAGCCAACATCCGGGAGCTCATATGTATACCGGATAGTTGATTGGATCGCTGATTGGTTCTCGGTACTCCTCGGGGTCTCTTCTTGCAGGATTGAACTCTTCCCGGACCTTGTGATTTTCCGCGGAAATGTGCGCTGAATGAATCTGCCGCGATTTCTCGTTCGACTCTTCGCGAAACGGAGAATTCTTTTAGTGCGTTTCGATCGGAGACGATCGATCGCTTCCCGGAGCGGCGGCATGGCCATGATCGAGCTCTTCTTTCCCAAAAACTGAACGACATGCACGCGCTTCGAGATCTCATCAAGCTAAGTGAGTGACTCGTTGACGTTCGCGTCGCCTTGAACCCTCGAGCCCGCTCGTGCGTTCCAGAGGGGACTCCGTCTGGGATCATTGAGAGATTAATTAAATCTGGACACGTGGACGGGGATGGATTTTGGATCGATGGAAAATACAGCGTCTCGACAGTCTCGAATCGCGATCAAAATCGAGAAAGGGGCGATTGGTCGTCATATCGAACCTACGGAACGGAAAACCCGTGGCCAGGAGATGACCCTGTTGAGGGTCCTGAGCTTTCGATATGAACAAAATGTCTCGACTTCACGCTTCTCGGAGTCTGGGGCTCCGGGTCGAAAGCCCCCGGCTAGGACCGAATATACGTATTGTCCATCGAGAAGGAACCGGGCCAAGATTTTGCGATAGGACTTCCACGGAGATTGTGGATGCTGTCTCAGTCTCATGCCGTGGATTCGGGGACACTTTGGAGATGACGTCATCTAATCGGTTCTACGGGATACAGCTCAAAGACTCTTTCTATAAAAAACACACAGTAGGTACTTTCCGAATCTCTCGTCATTCCAGAGGATTCCCAGATTGCAATCTCACCTGAGATAAGTAGAACCTTTTCTTGGGCTCCATAGGATAAAAACGGAATATCGAATTTCGAATCTTTTCGAACCGCATTCCGAGCCCATTCGAAACGGGAATGTAATCTCCTGCAGATACGAGCCTGCGGACAACACGCGAGGGAATTCCACGGAGGTTATTCTCGTGCGCCGCTTACAAGTGTCGACACGGAGCCGCGAATAATTACGACAAGGTCATGGTCGGATCGTCACGACCAGGAAATCCAGCCCAGTCATTACGCTAGCAGAATTTTGAAGCGCTGTTAACGCTTGTTATCGTTGGTCGCTTCGTGGCCATCACTTCTGCTGTTTAGGACTGACACCGAATGACGCTCCTCGAAAGCTTCGACGAGCTTTGTTGCCTTCTTTCCTTTGTTTCCTCTCCTTGACTCGTAGCCGCAGCGAGAGAGGTGTTTTTTACCGCGGCTTACGGCGGGAGTTGGGAGATTCTGTCCTTGGGTGCGACTCAGCAAACCCATCTCGAAGAAAAGCAGAGACACCGGCTCCATCGGAATAGCGAGGACATCATCTTTGTCAGCTTCTTCCCACAACTCGGCCAGCCAACCAGTCGGCCAGCGCTCTGGGGAGCTGCGTCTCTTTCGCTGCTCGGTCAGATATTCGGGAATCCTTTCTTTTTTCAATTCTCTAGGCTCGGCGAGAGCCGCGCGTCTTCAGGGAAGCCCAGTGACATTTCCTCCGAGGACACCCCGCGACGTTTCTTAGTTCCGTTCCGAGTGGTCGTCGACGTCGATCGCTCTTCCCCGAGCGCTACGAGGAAGGAATTCCATCTATATTTCACCGAGAGTCAATCAATGAATAGATCGGTCGACAAATCGATTTATCGATCACATCGAGCGTGCGATCCCCTCCGATCCGCTGAGATAGGAGAATTCCGCGCAGAGGAAACCATCTGAGCCTGGCAATATTTCTTTTGTGTTGATTTATTAATGCGACGACTTTGTGCCGCTCAATCATAGCTCTCTATTCCGTGTCAATAATTCCAATTCGATTGCGAAGTCGAACGGAATAGAATCCTTGCTTCTCGATACGTCGTCCCTCGTTTCCTCCGTCCCGGGATCCTAACGCTCTGCTCGGAAAAGCCAAAGTTGGCCGGGGATCCAGAGCCGTTCTGGCTCGATACATGGGATAAATTAGCGCCTCCGTCATCGGGATGTCGCCGCGAAGTTACAGAGAAAGTGCGCCGGATCTTCGCCGAAAACGATCGCAAGCTTGGGCCATTGATGCGACCTCGGTGAGCTCCTTGCGAGGGGAATCTTTGTCTCTCGCTGATGCGATCCCATACGACCAGGTCATCGCCGTCGTCGCCGCTACCGTCATCATCCGCAAAGCGAGAAGACACACTCATGGGGATTACACGCTTCGCCCCGGGCGGTAGCGAGCCATATCGGTGACACCGTTATCAGTAATGGCGACCCTTGAGGTGTCAAGCCTCGGTAAGCGGAGCGGTTGAGCCTTTGCCAGGGGCGAACGCTTTCTGCCAGGCCGTTCTTCGGCGGACTTCTGCGCTGGAGGCCGGAGGTAAAATCCGTTGGCATCATCGCGCAAAAGCCAATCTCCTCACATGCTCGCATCGACTCCACGAGTTTACTCGTCCGTACGTACGTCCACCCAGCCGTTCGCAGGCCGTTTTGACGGCCGCTACGCCTGCTGGTCCATAAGTGTCGAACAGTCGCGGGCTCAGGGGGTTATTGCTGCGTGCTCGAGTCGAGAGGGAAAAAATTACTTTTGGAATATCCCAAGTGTTGGAGCTCGCATCTACTTGTCGGTTGCCTGGCTCCTACATCAATTTAAGGTGCTCTAGAGCGGCAAGCTAGCAAGCGATGCCACGAAATGGAGTTCCGGAACTCGGCTTGCGCTGTCGAGGCAGTCGAGAACCTACGGCCGCAAAAAATATCCTCACCACGTCGACGAAACCGGCTTGATGGGCCGTTAGTGTAAGTTAAGTGAACTAAATCCGTGCATTCCTAAGATAGCTGGCGGTTAGCATCGGCTGGGCCCGTCGTCGCAGGCATGCGAGCTCCTCGGTAAGGTTTGGGCGTAACCCTCCCGAGAGTGAACATTTTTCGCCAAAGAGTTCTCGCCAAATGATGACTGATCATCTCGTTTTGACAATTGAGCTCGTGGCCATTCCGCCGGTCAGTGGTACTGCGTTCGGCTCACCGCTGAGTCGCGGTAGGTAGGACACGTGGGCACGCTTCGTCAACTCTCCGGGATGACCTCCAAGGGGTCGAACTCGATTAGGAAGTTCATCTCGGCTCCAGTTGCATGTATAGATCGAATCGGAGGTCGCGTCAAGATAATTCCTCCGAGTGAGCCCCGCCTGATTTTTTTGCGGGTCCGGTACGCCGACGCGACGCTTCTCGGTGCTCCGCCCAGGACAGAACTGATTCGAATCGACTCGTTCATGCTTCTGGGAAATTGTGCGAATGATTCTGATTATTTTTTCGGGTTCTCAGGTGCAAGCTATAAGACGTCCATATCAGGCGGTCAACTCGGATCTCTTCCCGCTTCGCTTTTGAGCGGAGGAGCAGATTTGATCGTTCCGCGCGATCGGAGTTGTGTGCAGACGTCACATGCGTTTCATTCCCCCGGTGAAGGACCGGAGAACAAAGCTATTTGTTCGATCGGGTCGGACGGCTGGCCATGACAAGGGTCGATTTCTATATTTTCCCTTGGTGGAGTTCGTGAAGGCATCGCTCTCGACATAGGCTCCGGGGACGAATCATCCGGGAATTCATCGGGGATCGCTCCTCGTGTTCCGAAAGCGATCCGATGTTCGCGTCTCAGTGTGGAACATGTTTTTCAAAATCTCGCCGCGTTCCTCCCGGGAAGCGAGATTCTTGCGCTCTGGAAGTGAGCTCCCCGGGAGGGGAAGGCAGCTGACCAGACGTCTGGATACGCTGAGTTCGATCCGGTCCGTCTCATGACGAGCGATCAGCCACTCGATCGTGGAAATGTCGGACTTCATTGCGCGAGCTGTGTGCCCTCTCTGCCACGTGTATCCTCTAGGCAACACGTGCTGGTGACAACGAGTGGAATGCGGTTGACGTCGCCGATTTCGCTTGCTGCGGCCGACGGTGCCTCCGCCGCTGGTTGCCCTCGCTTGAGATGCAGCCGGCCGCCTAGACTAGTACTCGGATGAAAAACTAGCTGGTCGGTTATCGCTTGCGACCGTGGGATTTGAGAATGGGCTTCGCCTCTGGAACTGAACGTTCGGGCTGGCACGCGCACACGTCAGGGGATTTCGCGGGGCTCCCGATAGCCGGCCGATGCCCTCTCCCATCTACATGGGATACATTTCACTTCGAAACAGTTCCGCGGGAATTCGTCTCTGTGACTCCGTGCGATCCGGAGACAAGTTTGCAAGATGAGGCTTTTCCAGACCAACCCGCTGAACCAACTCAACCTTGTAACTCTCAAAGCCGGTGAGTTTCCACTACTTGAGGTCTTTCCCGAATCCATGTTCCCAGATACGACAGAATGCGGGTTCTGGATGAGTCGTCCCGTCGACGTTGCGGCGGGAAGACGATTCGAACAGAGACCCTGCCGGAAAAAATGCGGATCCGGATCTGATTAGTTAGTTCCAACAAATTGAATAGACGAGTCTCGATGACGTCGAAAGGACTGTTTTTTTGAGCCGGGCACCGAAAGCACATGCCGAGAGCGTGTATGTTCGGAGCAGGAGTATACCGAGACCTCAAAACGGTGACGTTGCGTAAAAAACCGCTTTCATCTCGAAGATCCGCCTCCGAGCAACCCCAGGACGGGGGTTGCTCTCAGGCTCCGGGAGCGTTTTCCCGTAGAGTGGAACAAGCCTCCGACGAGAGGGAAGATATCGAGTACGGGGCGTCGTTCGAAATCATCCATTAGGAATGCCGAAGTCTTTCGCACGAAGGCGGCACGATACTTCGAGAGATGCCGATCCTATTCGACATGGCCCATCCCAGGCCCCGAAACCCTCACCCCGCCCCCTCCCCCTATCGACAGACTGCCACTATCGACAGCGTACCCCGAGCGTATAACGACTTTTCCCGAGTCAACTCAGTCAGTCAGATGCAGTTAAGTTGTTGCACTCATGGACATGTGCACTCGTCTCGTGCTAAACCGACAGTCCCAAGCGATATATAATGCATTTGGAATGGAGCTAACGGGAGCATCGGACCGATATTCTTCAATGGTGAGTTGAGGATCTCCCCGGGTTGAGGATCTCCCGAAACAGACAGACGAGGAGGAGATGTTGCATCGGCAACTCGGTTGTTGAACAGCGACAGGGTAGGTCGTAAGAGTGGTTTGTCGAGTGCACTAGCGGGTTTGCCCTCTGTCGCTTGCTCGTTCGGCTTGATTTGTATTCATTACAACAATGTCACAGAGCGAACGAAAACCCCTGTCGCTTTGATGCGAAAACTCCCGGCGACTCAGCTTGTGTGGATACTAACTTTGCTTTTGACGCTCCACCATTTGAGAGACGAGTCGGGGTCGCTGATACCGATCGCTGTTCAGTGAGGAGTTTTTCTCCTCAGATCTGTCCACAAGAGATCCGCGAAGTTGCCAATGGCCGGCGATCAAAGTCCAGCAACGCGTTCAACTCCGTGAAAATTTCCCCCTGTTCCGCGGGTACGGTCAGAATACGCGCCGACCTGGTTGGGACCATGGATATATTCCGGATTCAGACGCTCGGAAGGAGGAGCGAGGCAGTGCAGCCGTAGAAGCAAAAACACCTCCAAGAGCGCACTCCGAGACCCCACGCACGAATCATAACGATTCTCGTCGCGCGTGATTTTAATCCGAAAATCGATTTCACTAGTACCTACACACCGAGAACTCGAACATCGGATTGAGCGTGGAATTTCCTCGCCTCGTAGGCGGAAGAATCCATCTGCCGATAAATTGGCGGGATTGTGCTCGGGAGCGTAGGTGGTCAAGACCCACGTGCGCAGGAGATGAGTTCTTCTCCAGAAGATTCATCTGAGAAATGGAACTTGATGGGAGCATGAGCTCGGCTCGTACGAGGGAGGAGTATAGCTCACCTCGGGGAGTAGAAATGAAGTGCATTTCCACTTTCATTGTGGAGCGACATAAGCGAAGCATCCATCCCAAGCGAAAGATGCCGGGGAGAAACGAGACGTTTGAATGATCCGCTTCCGAGAAGCGCAGCCGAGAGCTCTTGTGAAACAGTAGGACGCTATGATCAACTTTATTTGATATGGAGGAAAATACAGAGATGGTCGAGAGATTTCGAAACAATGGGCTTAGCCTTGAAGAGCGCCGGCCGTAGGGGAAGGCCCGGGCGTTGAACGACAATAACACCGAATAACGTGGAAACCGAAGTTTTGTGGGTTTTTCCCCGTCAGTTTTCATCGAAAGTGGAACACACCGGTCCCAGGGACGACTTACGAATTTTCCGGCCTCATAGCTCTCGCGAATTCGGAGAAGGAGAGAGAGCATCGAAAAAACGAGAGACCGATCCCGAGCCTGTATTCGCTTGGCGTAGGATTACTCCACCAATGCGTTGATTTGGAGCTGGCAGGACGAGCAGCCGACACCGCACGGTCGGTAACTTGTCTGCGAGTTGACCAAGTTCAGCACAATGCCAGAACCGGTTCCGCAACTGGTTCGTTTCGACGTCGCGGAAGTCCAAATTGACGTTGATCCCACAAACCGACAAGAACGTTTCGCAAGCCCCTCACGTAGGACTGCCTTGCCGCCCACGCTCTCGTTGACGTTGTTGTCGCAGCGCATCTATCCGACTCGCTTTCTTCTGCTTCGCGCACGGAAGCAATACAATTGTGGGTCGTCTTCCTCCGTCGGCGACCGGCGGCGTCCCCACCGTCCCCTCGGACGTCCAGCCAGTTGCTCGAAGCCTATCGTTTCTTACTTGTCCTCCTCCACGGGTTCTTCTCTTCTATCTCGTCGTAGTGACCGAGCCGAGAAGCCTTGTAGTTCCGGAGACCCCAGTTCGTGCAACGCTTTTAGCGTTCCGCTCACATTGTATTTCAATGCGACGCGCAGAGCTCCGGGCCCCGCCGGGAGCTAGATCTGTATTCGAATCGCTCGAATACTTGCTCAGTCTTCGAGGGGGACTCGAAGATTCCCTTCCTATAGCCAGACGAAGGAGACTCGTCTTTTCCTGTCGTTGGTGGATCGTGAGAGACGCCCCACGTCCGAGTCTTTCTCGACAGACTGAGAGATCGCCTACTGTCTCCGCGGAGATGAGCGCGATCACCTCAGTCCTCGATTCGGATGAATCGATCGTGAGATCTCTTGTCTCGCCTTGTCCCTTCGGAGAAAGGTGGCGTCGATTCCGAGATTCGTTATTGTTATCTACCCTCTCAGAAAAGGAATGCGATGAATAGGAAGCCGCTTCCGTCTCGCTGAAAGTCCAGGCTGTCACGGATTGCCCCGCGGTTTCCGGAGCCCGTGTGTGAGACACCTAATGAGATACCTTTACTGTTGCCGCCGGTTGGTCGCGTCTATTAAAAGCCACAACATTCTTGGCGGTGAACAGGAGCGTGACAATCTTTGTGGAACAACGAGTCCCGTTCTACGCGAGTGAGCCGACAACAACAAACAGCGATATACGTTTTTCTCGTTTCACCGTTTGATTAACGAGCCCTGTTGTTTAACGGCTGTGAAAGTGCTTAACGAGTGACATCGACTTATCGCTCAACGATGACTGTTACATTCGTTCCAATCTTTGAGGCTTGATCGAATCATCGGAGAGTCCCACAACGTTCCCTTCCGCGACCGGCTCCAGCTTTGTCAGATGACCACAAGAGCGAGACCGTATGCGCGATCCGGAGCCTTCTGAAATTTTGCAGAATGTATCCGACAAACAAAGCATTTCCGATATCCGAAGTCGGAAGTCGTCCCCGTCCAATTGTCTACGGATTCACTGTTCCAGGCCGCAGGAAACAAATAGGAGAAAGCTCCGAAGAGATGAGTTTTCCTCAGTCATTCCAGCAGGTTGACATTTCTCGCTCTCCATTGTCTATATTTCCGCGAAATTTTGCGCGCCGGTTTCCCGCTCGCGGGGAACGAAATGACGGCACCGCAAAGCAGTACTTCGGCGCAGCTCGCGAATGCTCTCCGAAGTCTCTCTCCTGCGGGAATTCCCTCTCAATTGATCGTCAATGCGGAATAGCTCTAGGAGCCAGGTTTAGGATTGCTCCGATTCCGTTGACCTCGTCGTACATCCGACAATAAAGTAAATGAACGGTTAATTAAGTATTTTCTTATCTTCCCCAGTACTCCCTTTTTTGTGCCAGAACTGGCGGAGCCTCATCGCCGCTGCCACGCTGTGCAAGGTCTCGCTCTTCTACCTAAGACGATTGATGTATCCATCGGGCCCGCTACCATTCCCGTTCATCGGCAACTTACCAGGTGAGAAGTCGGGAATCTTCCCGTGTCGTGTGCTTATCGAAGTGCTGTCTGAGATCCTCTTCCCCCTCCCCGTGTCAACCTCACTCGTTTCTCTCGGACGACCGTCGGTCTTCCCACCGAGCCTGCTCCACTGAGACAAACTGCGAGCTTCGTGGCGTCTCGCGCTCGGGGAATTTCTCTGCTTTGACAAATTTGGAAAGCCTCGCCAAAAACTGTCTCTCACCCAGGGCGGGTAAAAAATTACCCACAGTCGAGCGCATTGTTCCGACTGCGTATCCCGTGGAAGTTGAGACGGGTTTGTGTTTCGTCACCGTGATATACATTCGCACACCTGGCCGGCTGGCTGGCCGTCTACCCTCCGACCTCACTCCAAGGCTGCAATATTTTTAATTAAAGTGATTTTTCCACTTTCAGCGTTGGCTGCTGTGGACGGTTCTTTCTACAGAGCTGCCGAGACGTGGAGAGCCGAGCACGGAGATATTTTCACTGTGTGGATCGGAGAAAAACCATGGATTTTCATAAACTCGCTAGACGCCATTCTCCAGTGCAATATCCCATCGTTGGCAGAACGATTCGGCGGTCGACATCGGACCAATACCGGTAGGGGAGCTGTCGGAAACCCTGTGTGAGACCCATTACCGGATTTCAGGCTGAGTTATCTCACTGACAGAGGCATGCCCTTCCACGGATACCCACGAACTAATTCCGATCGATCGGAGAGGTCTCACATCGATTTCTTCAATTCATATCCAGGCGATGTCCAGATGCAAGGGAACGTAGGAGTGATCTTCTCAGACTCCGGATCGGGACAACGAGTGCTACGCAGCCTAGCTTTGCAAGCCTTGAGGTGTGTACGGGCGGGAAGGGAATTCTTTCTTCAAAATAAGGAACCGAAGTGAATGATTCATGGCAACGTTGCTCAACGACAACGAAAGACCGACCGACAGGAAGAGGAGTGGTGAAGGTGTTTTTTCTCCGCTCCCTTGGCTGAGACGTAAGAAATTCTCATCTCGTTCCCTGAGCTAAATGAAAATAAACGGTGAGCTCGAAATTGAGAAATGGTGATGACAGCTCCCTATGTGAAACGAGAAGATCAAAGAACGAACGGGAGAACCACGGGTGACAGTTGCGGCGAGCTAAAAACACCAAACTTTGGTAGAAGAGAAGAAGAGGGAAGGCTCGAGACTGGAAAAAGATCCTCCGAACGTTTCACAATCAGACGCCTGTTTCTCTCAACTTTCATCGACTTCGGTCAGCGCTGCGGACGCTCATGGAGCGAGATTATCCTGAACGTTCTTCGAATCGATCGAAGAAGCATCCCAGGCATTTTGGGAAAAAACTCTGCCAGATTTCACATGCGTTGAACGAGCGATTCTCTCGCCAGGAAATTTCTGGTATCCTGCGGGCCCCGTTTCCAGGGGATAATCGATACCGTGGACAATGTCGTGGAGCTTGAGCAAAACAAGTCCGTCGAATCGAAACACATCGCGGAAGAAATCGTGCAATGTTTGGCGACGTTGACCATGTTTGGCTCGTGAGTAATAGGGAATTCTAGATTCGAATGTAAATATATCTCGTGAGCCGAAGCCGAGCGGTCGAAGCTGAGGTGAAATTTTCCTCAATGACAGTCAACTCGATCCAGAGGGTGAGCAAGAGCTCCGCGAGGCGCACAGAGCTCTCGAACTGAGCTGTCCCAGTGGGCTCCCGAGCGATGTGATCCCCATCTTCAAATATCTCCTATGGTCGAGAGAACGCGCTGGCCTGGCCGCCTTCTGCAGGTAAATTGCCCTAATTCGAAGAGCAAGCGACGCAAATGTCACTCTTTCATCTGTATTTTCGATCCACCCTTCCCTTGCACGTAAATCCGTCACGTTTGATCGTAAATTTAGCGGGTTCTCCGATTCTCTTTGAACTCCTTTCTCATCCATCTGCAGATACAACGCCATTGCTCGAGATCTTTGTAATCGGACAGCCGATGCTTATGAGGAGAAAGCCTCGGGCGATATAGATTGTGTCATGGACGCGGTACTTTATACGGTCAAGACATCCACGACACGGATTAAACAGGGCGAAATCTATCTGACGCGAGGAAACGTTCTGCAGATCGTGTTTGATCTCTTTGAAGGTGCGTCCGATCTGCATATTCCATTAGACGGAGAACGAGTTGAACGAAGAACCTGAGTTCATTACGGCTCGTGCATGTCACCCGGGAGGCGTAGCTGACGACTCTATCTGAAGCGCAGCTTCCCGATACCGCCTCCATTGCGTAACGTTACTGCGGGGATCAGTTCGGGGAACCCAGCGCTATTTCTGGAGCCTCCGACACTCCCTCCATTCGAATCACACTCGACTGCATTGATTGAGTTTTTTCCTTAGGGCGGAGGGAATCCTCCGCGAGATCTTCTTGGTTCCCGTCATGGAGCGTAATGGAATTGGGCAGTCGAACCGATTGAATTGGGAGATAAACTGACTGACATGGCAACACTTTCTTCTCTTGCAGCGGGCAGCCAAACGAGCGTGATCACCTTAAACTGGGCACTCTTGAAATTGGCCAGCGATCAAGAATTACAAGAGAGCATTCATCACGACCTCACCAGGACAATCGACGGTGAGTGCACTTCATTCCATATTTCATCCACATGACAGTCTGTGAGATACCGCTATCGATAACGGAGAGCGGGATCGTATCCGCCTTTTTATCCCCGCCAGAAATCGGATATTTCCCGGAAAAGAAAGGAAAGACCATCGCCCCTCGTCTGCAGTCTTTCCTCAGAGAAGTCTTGCGATTCTGGCCAGCAGCACCTTTTGGCCTGCCCAGGAAACTTTCGCAAAAAGTCCGAATCGGTGAGAGCTTCAGGAGAGCTCCGAATGCAGATCTCGACATCCTCGGGAGGGAAATCTCAGAATAAGTTTCAGAGTAAAGTGAAAACCTTGTCCCCAGGCAACTGCACCTTGCCCGCCAACTCCACGATCCTTTTCAATCTGTATAGTGCTAATCGGGATCCTGCGCATTGGTCAGATGGCAACGTTTTCAACGCCGAACGGTTCATCGACTCTCAGGGATACTTTGACGAGACAAGTCACAAGGAATTCCTCACTTTCGGAGTCGGTTCGCGCGCATGCGTGGGTTTCACTATGGCTCAGGAGAATCTCTTTTTCATTCTGGCGAGGTAGGATTTCTTTGAGTCGCCAATTCGTCCGCTCAGGAATCCCTGATAGGTGTCCGGCTCCATCGGACGGGGCTCATCGGTGCGAGTCTACGCTGATGAAATCCATTGACTAAAACAACTTTTCCCGTAGAATCGTACAAAAATGGCAGATTCTGCCTACCGAAAGCGGAATCTCGCTCGAGCCGTGCCCCGCCGCCCTGATGCTGGACGCGAAAATCCAGAACATCAAACTCGTACCGAGAACAGACTAGGCTACGCAGCTCTATTCGCCGGTACATTGAAGGATACGCTTATTTGGTCGACTGGAAAAATGAAAAATCGAACGCCATGAGTCAAGGCTCCTCCTGACTCTGTTCCTACCGGAAACGGTTCACTCATAACTCATGTAAAAAACGAACTCGTACGCAATCTCATATGACGTTTCAATCATCTCTGAACCCTCCTTCAGCGCTCCTTTCGCAAGAGCGGAACGAGACCCCCCCCCCTTCCCCAGTGTGTGAGCGAGTCCTTGCGCCATTTCGAGCTCTTTGACTAGTGCAGTATTTTCGAACAATCCGTTGAGGGGTACTCGACGTCGTGAGAGGAAAAGATCCGCCTCGTTTGCCAAAGGCCGTAAGCGTATCCCTGCGGGATCAACTTCTTAGTCATAGAGTACCGACGCCGACGGCAGCTCAATCCGCTCCATCTGGCGCCACGGTATCCGCTTAGATTATCCGGTAGAGTATCCGATAGCTTCTTCGGCAAGATGTGTCCGCTGGAACCTTCCTGTAAGCTTGACATCATGGGTTTGGGTGAATAGAACGGGGCGCTCGAGCCACGAACGACGCGACCGATGTCAGGAGTACGAACGAGAAACACGGCCCGGTATCAGGATTCGCGGAATCTAAACGTGCTGGGAGCCGACGCTAATTGACTGAATCGAGCTTGTCGGAATAGTTCCAGGTGACCGAGAGGATGTTCGCTTAAGGAACGCAGGGGTGATTCGGACCTATGTATCATAGAAGGGGAGTTTTAAATAAAAAGTGATCGAAATCAGCAAATATCATTCTAGTTAACGAGGAGTCAGGGGTCTGAGCACTCTTTCGTCCGGGAATTTCGCCAACCGATCGTTCACAGCATTCTTTTCATAATGTGGATAATGAATAAAACCACTGTCGATGTCAATTCTGGCGTGAAGTGTCCGTGAGCGCTGACGAGACTCTCGAGGAATAGAACGCCTGTCTGGCAAGGCCTGTCGGGGGTCTGTTTCACCATTCGGCCTTTCGTCTGATTCCCTGCCCATACAAATTATGCTGAGTGAGGTTTGCGAAAGAAGCGCAAAGAGGTTCTCGCTTGGACACTTTCTCGAGTGTTCCTCGGCGGAGCTCACTCTCCGAAGCGCTTCAACGATCCGGAAGGATAGGTCTCACGCTCTCCTGTGTGCGTGGGCGCGAGGGTTGCGCATTTTCGAGACTGTAATAGACCGACGGATGCTTCTTGCGGTGCTTTGTTCTTTTCCCCAAGAGTCGAGTCCTCCCTTCCTTGATTTTGACGGAGGGTCCGCGGATAGCCGTGGCAACATAAGATGCATTTGTGATTTATGCGAAGTATAACCGAAAGGGATGAGCGGGTTGCCGCTCCTTCCTCGCCAGTGTGGCGTCTGGGAATACGTACCGCAAAGTGCCGGGGACCGCTCCTCGAACCATAGAATTCCTGTGTTTGCCACCGGTTGGGCTCTTTCCTCGCTCCCGCAGATAAAAATCCCTCTGTCCCCGTGATTCGCGCATTTTTCCAAGGGATTCTCGCTCTGATCTCCGATATTTTCAGAATATGGTAGAGCAGTGTTTTTTGCGTGACGGATGAGAGGATACTCCATTCTGTGCCGGTTGTTGCTCTCGAGGCAATCTTGGCTAGCCGCGTTGTTCCGAAAGTGGGTAGCGGAAGGCGAGGACGGCCGCGAGCGAGCGAGTTCCAGCGAGGCTCCGAGCTCGACACAACAACAAAAACATTCCGTCATCTGAATTTCAAATTTCCCAACGCTCGACCACACGCTCGTTTGAGTTCCGAATTCTCTTCATTTCCGTATTCAAACTCTCGTTGCCCACACATGGGCCGCTTGTCTACCCTTCCCCGTGTCCCACGGCCGGGGGAGAATTCAGCAGCACCTTTCCCGGCTCGAAACATTCCTCCCCGACGGCAAGTGTTTCACAGGGCTGAGGTGCCAATTTCGGAGAGACGTCCAAAAGACATACAGACTCGACCCATTCAGTGTTCGGCGGTGACCGTGAACATCGGTGGGTGACGGGTCACTTCTGGGGGCGGAACGTCTTCCCCGGAATCTCAAATGGATAATTTCGAGTGCTAAGGAGTTTCTGTGAGCCCCAATGAACATCAAGCTTCCGCTGTGGTTGGCGGCCGAACTGACTGTGTGCTACATAAATCTTCCTGAGACAATGTCGCATTCGTAAAACGTTCATGGCACGTACCGCTAGTGGCATGCTACCTCTCAGAATGAAAAGACCGCTTATTATTCCCGCTCTGTGAGGAACCACAGAGCAAGAAAAACACCAAGCGGAGCGTCAGAGGGACCGCCACCGTTCCAGGCAGCCAGGGCTTGCCGTATTTTGGCGAGTCCTTCTTTTGTTTCCTTCACGATGCCTCTCATGCAGTTGACTGCGGGTTTCTTTGCCTTCTCACAGAGTCCCCTCGTTTCTCTATGGACTTTCTCTCCTGTGCTCCGCAACCCTCGCGACAGAACTCGGGGAACGCCCGCTCTGGTCTCAGCAGGCGTGGCTAAAAGCATTTTCTCAGGGAGAACAATATTGTTTTCGAGACATTCAGCTGGCTGATGCGGAACTGGATATACGATCCACGGATTTCGGCCCGAATTCTCATCCACTGAATAAACTTCCGTAAATGTGGGCAATTTCCTCGAGACCGAGCTAGCAGAGACGTTACGTGCTCAATTGAGATAGCGACCTTGCGAAGGTTGCAGTGAAGCAATTCTTGGAATATTTGTCTCTAGCCTCACGGCTTTCGCTCCGGAGCAGCCTCACAACAGAGGTGGGAGGCTGGAAGCGCGATGCGCAAATGCCAGCGCTTAACCACACTCTAAGCAACTAACGTTCGACTCCGCCTGGGTCGGCGGGCGAGTTCAAGCCTCGCGGGGAGCATCTTCACGGCAAGTGTTGAAATTGGAAATCAGAATGCGAAGGAAAATTGGATAAATCATCGTGCTGAAGTAGCCCCTTGAGAGGTTTCTCCTCCGGACGGAATATCGAGATGGCCCAGGACCTGTGTCTTTTCTTTACGCGAAGGCGTCCCTCCGAATAATTCTTCCGTCTGAACATCCCTCAGTCAAAGCTTTTCCGTGATCTAGGCTCTAGATCCGACAAATTCCATGCGATGACAGCGGGACGCGTGAGAACACTCAACACGCACAAGGCTAAATCCGCCCCAGTGAGTGATTACCCTAAGTGCTTGAACGAACGATGCGCTCACACGAGAACGACTTTGTCGAAGTAGCTGGCGAGATTGTTCCTACAGAATAAACGTCGAATATTCCAGTGAGTCCTCGAATGTAGAGAGGGCGGGAGCGGTCATATCTGGAAATCATCACTGACCGCAGCACGGACGCGCTTGGGCGGGTCTCTCTGTCCGAACATCAAACGCGCGAACCGCTTTGAGTCGAATCATCCACAAGGGTGACAACGTCCGGATGGCGAGTGGCGGGAGCCTGGGGAAATCCACACTTCTGCCGGGAAGTCCGAGTTTTCAGAAAAAAAAGAGCAGCGGAAAAGCAGAAGAGGTATTCGATCCAGACCAGGAACACTTGTGCCTTCAGCGAGGATAGCTTGCAACTGTCGTCCGAAGAAATCCTCCGATTGGATATGTGCTCCAATTTCTCACCAATTCCAAGCGGCGCTCGTGTTTTTTCCCGCCTTTCGTCCAGACTTGAAGAAGTTCAACTTCGCGGATCTCCCAGAATAAGACACTTCGCTCCCTCATTTGTTTGCTTGTCTGTCTGTTTGTTTATTTGTTTGTCTGTCTCTTCGTCGACGGCAACATACTCGTGAATAGATTCGTCCCGCCCGAGGACCACATGCAGTTTTCCAGGAGCGCGGCAGCAAATGAGCGAAAAGGAGCTTTCAGAGGAGGGCCTCTACGTCGGCGTCGTGGCGGTCGTTGTTGAGCCAGCAGCAGCAGGGCCGGCGGAGAACAGACAAAGCTTGCGGGGCTGGTTAGTGACGGCGGCGTCAAGCACAGCCGCTGTTTCCTCCATGACCGTGGCTCTCGTCAGCTCGCTTATAATCGTTGTCGTCGTCACTGTCGTCCGGAACGGACTCGCTGCTCTGCGCCAAAACGTAGAGACAGACCGATAGAGAAACCTCGGGGACGACGATGAGAAAACAGAGAGCACTCGCTCTAAACTTTTGTCCTCCCACTAGCCACCACTGCTGGCGGCATCCGCGACAGCAACAACAGCCGCTGTAATTCTAATCACCAGTTTCAGTCGGCTCGTCCCGCACATACAATCCTTCCGCGGACACGGAGTTCCGGCTCGGACACCGGCAGGCGGGGCGGGTAGTTGAAAGAACAACTCATCGAGTAGTTTTCCTTTGTATGTGGACGAGATCATTCTGCGGGAAATCTCTCGTTCCCTTACCCGAAACTCACAGTCCCCCTGTCAAACATCAGGGGAGGGCGAGATGCGGCAGGCCGCGGTCCGGATCCTTCGGCACCCATTATATGTATCCGGCGAGTCGATACGCGGGATCTCGCGAGCACAAATAACACAGAAGGGGGTGCACTTACGCTGTGGAATATTCATCCCGGAGGTTTACGTCACCACGGAGATAAATCGAGGGTACGCACGAATATCTAATTTTGAACCATAAATAGATATGTATATATAAATAAATGAAAATTGAATTCCGTACGGCGGCACGGAGGCCTCTGATATTGTTCCGTCTTCCTCCCATTTCTCCGGAGCTACGAAGGTCATTGATGCGACTGCGAGTCCCTTACGTAAAACACTTCGGAACGACCTCGGTCTGGCGGCGTCCTCCAGACGGGGAGCTCCCACTTTTGAGTGTTGAATTGGCGAGCAAGGCCTCAATCCCGAGTTCTTATTCCTCATCGAGGCAGCGACCGGCGGTTTTGACTTCACGAGCGTCGAAACTTCGCTCGCGTTCTTTCCTCTGTCCGCGGCAGAGGCTGTTCTCGTCGCGAGCGATCTGGCTATCCTCCAGCTGGCAGCGCAGTTGTTCTCCACCTTTGGCTTCCATTTTTTCATCCTCGCTACCCGAGCACTTCCAACTAAAGCGATGCCCGGATTGTCGCCACCGTCGGCGTCGTCTCGGCAGCGAGCAATGATGTTGGCAACCGGAACGGCGAGGGTTTCGGCGGCAAGAAGGTTTTCGCCGCAGAGGCATCTGATAGTTCATCATCCTTACGAGATCCCATCTATGGGCGCGTCGGTGGCTGTGACCTGAAATCTCAGCACGGTCCCGGGAGCCTAGTTTTTATTTGCATTCTGAATGCATCTCCGATCTCGAGTCTCATCGATGCCAGATGGAAATCTAGAGCCCTCTGTCGTACACCAGAATTGCGGAGCTCTATACAGAGCCCGGAATCTTCTGTTGACGGTGGCTTGATTGAACCGCCCTGATGTCTCGAAAAAATTCTTCGTTTGAGCCGACGCGACGTTTCGCTGAGTCGGATGAGCGGTCCGTGTTTTCATTACAGATTTGCGCCGCAACATTGGAGCGAGGTTGTCCCGATCAAAATATTGTTGGTTTGAATTCAATCCGAGACCTTAGCGAGATGGGATATCGAGCTTCCGTTTTGTCCTGGGGCGGTTCAGGAAAGAAAAGTCTTAGACTTGACCCTTGCCTCGATATTTTCGGATGTGGCCCACGGTGGGGGTGCTGACGTGTTCATCATCCATCGGTGCACCTATTCAGAGGATAACCGCGTGACCCTATCAAATCACCCGGCTCGTTCAACCATTTGTCCCCAGCGTGACGAGAAGATTCCGATGCACT